TGATTAGGGGATTGGAACATCTCTCCTATGGAGAAAGGCTTAGGGACTTGGGTCTCTTTAGTCTAGAGAAAAGAAGATCGAGGGGGGATCTTATTAATACTTACAAATACTTAATGGGAGGATGCCAGGGGGATGGGAGTAGTCTTTTTTCAGTGGCACCCAGTGATAGGACGAGGGGTAATGGGCATAAACTTGAACATAGGAAGTTCCATCTTAACATGAGAAGGAACTTCTTTACTTTGAGGGTAGTGGAGCACTGGAACAGGCTGCCCAGAGAGGTGGTGGAGTCTCCCACTCTGGAGACATTCAAAACCCGCCTGGACGCTGTCCTGTGTAACGTGCTGTAGGCGACCCTGCTCTGGCAGGAGGGTTGGACTAGATGATCTCCAGAGGTCCCTTCCAACCCTAACAATTCTGTGAATTCTGTGAATTCTGTGAAGTGTAGGGTACCGCAACTGGGGAGGAACAGCCCCATGCACCAGTACAGGTTAGGGTTTGACATGCTGTAAGGCAGCTCTGCAAAGAAGGACCTGAGAGTCCTTGTGGAGAACAGGTTGCCCATGGGCCAGCAATGTGCCCTGTGGCCAAGAAGACTAAGGGCATCAAGAAGAGTGTGGCCAGCAGGTCATGGGAGGTTATCCTCCCCCTCTAGTCTGCCCTGGTGTGGCCACACCTGGAGTACTGTGTCCAGTCTGGGCTCTCCAGTTCAAGAAGGACAGGGAACTACTGGAGAGGGTCCAGTGGACAGCTATGAAGATGATTAGGGGAATGGCGCACCTCTCTTATGAGGAAAGGCTGAGAGACCTGGGTCTGAGCCTGGAGAAGAGAAGACTGAGAGGGGATCTCATCAATGCTTACAAGTATTTAAAGGGCAAGTATCAAGAGGATGGCGCCAGACTCTTTTCAAGGGGCAGTTGGCACAAACTGGAACACAGGAAATTCCATCTGAACATAAGGAGAATTTTTTTTACTTCAAGGGTGGCAGAGCACTGGAATAGACTGCCCAGAGAGGTTGTGGAGTCTCCTTTTCTGGAGATATTCAAAACCTGCCTGGATGCATTCCTTCTAAATGTGAACCTGCATTGGCAGGGAGGTTGGACAAGGTGATCTCCGAAGGTCCCTTCAAACCCCTATAATTCTGTGATTCTGTGATCCATCAGTGTTTGTCAGCAGATGATTTTTGAACCCTTCTCCTTCTTCAGCATCTATCAGCGGACAATCTTTGAAATCCTTGCAAAATGTACCCTGAGAGGCGTCCCAGCTCCGGGGAAGATAGTGAGTCACAGCCTGCTGCGATCCTGGAGGCTTCAAAGGGTCGTACTTAGGATTGCTATTTATAGGATCGCATGATGATTGACTTTAGTCAGTGTTTTTCCAGAAACCTTCCAGACTGGGCTATGATCCAGGCAGTAGGATGTTCAGGTCTGGTTACCAGGCAACAGGAGTTTCATGTATGGTTAGGGAGTGTCTAATCGTCCCAACTCACTGTACTTGTAAGCAGGACCAGAAAGTACCAGATTGTCCCAATTCACTGCACTTGTAACCAAGACGAGGACACAATGTTGGCTTGCTCTGACATTGCAACATTGCCCAGGGGGGCTGTACCACCACACCAGGGGAGGTTTAGACTGGATATTAGGAAAAAATATCTTCACCAAAAGGGTTATCGAGCACTGAAACAGGCTGCTTGGGCAAGTGATTTTGTCACCATCTCTGGAGGTACTTAAAAGACATGTAGGTATGTCAATTAGGTTTAGTGGTGGACTTGGCAGTGTTATGTTTATGGTTGGACTCTATCTTAAAGGCCTTTTCCAACATAAACGATACTATGATTCTGTGATTCTAATTACCTTTCCCTCATTGATCTCAGTTGTGCTTACATGGGCACCACATCTAGTGTTTCTGATCTTGTCACTTAGACAATCTTGGTCTTTACATGATTGTTGTGGAACCTCACAAAACCATGCCAGACTGACTAACAAACTAAAAATGGGATTTATTTTTACAAGATGGTAACAAAATCAAACTAAGTTTTAGTCTAACTGAAACTGCTTTGAGACTCCAACAAACATTAACAATCCATAAATTCAAAATGTCATTTGAGAGTGAATACTACACAACCAACTTAAGAATTCTTAAGGTTTATGGCCCATGACCCAAAACATGCAATCACTCACCTAATAAGGGAGGGCTCTCAAACTTGAGGAGTTTCCTTGGATGATGTCCCAGGCCAAGGGGAGAGTCCCCGAGTGCAGACTTGCTGCTCCAAGGAGGACCAACTCAAAATGGCTCTCTAGCAGACTTCATTTATACCCTAGCTGAACTGACCTGTGGTCAAATATGGTCATGTGCTCCTCCTCCTCCCCCCACCCCCCCATCCCGCCTTGGCTGAGGACACCAGCTTCCTCATGTTTTGACCAAAATGAATACATGCTGACAACCACTGTGTGGGCATGACAAGAGTTGTGGCAGGAAGTTTTCGCAAGCTTTTGACATGAGCTGGGAACGTGTATTTGCAGGCCAGAAAGCTAATTGTGTCCTGGGCTGCATCAAAAGAAGTGTGGTAGCAGGTCAAGGGATCTCATTGTCCCCCTCTATTCTGCTATTGTCAGACCCCACTTCGTGTACTGCATCCAGTTCTGGGGTTCCCCAGTACAAGAAAGACATAGACCTGTTAGAGTGAGTTCAGAGGAGCGCCACACAAATGATCTGAGGTCTGGAATACCTCTCCTATGAAGAAAACGGAGATAGTTGGGGTGGTTCAACCTGGAGAAGTGAAGGCTTTGGGGGAACTTGATTTGCTAGAGGGAAGGGATGCCATCCAGAGGGCATCCTTTTCAATATATACAGAGGGTTTCTAAGAAAGATGGATAGATACTTTTTACCAAGGCACGTATTGACAGGACAAGGAGCAACGGTTTTAAACTGAAAGAAAGTAAATTTAGATTGTCTATAAGGAAGAAATTTTTTACAATGAGGTTGGTGAGATAGTGGAAGAGGTTTTCCAGAGAAGCATGGATGATCTTAAAAGTCCCCTTCCAACCCAAATCATTCTATGAAAATGATGGACTTTGTATCCAAGCACGATCTGGATGTCCTCAACTAATGCAACAGTGCACTTGTAGCTAAAACCTGAAACAGCAGCATGCAAGCCCAATTGAGATGTCAAGATATGTGATATCCAGGAGTCTGTGCTATAAACTCACTTTGGAACCCTTTCTTTGTTCTGCCTGTGTTTTATTTTGGCTGCAATCTAGGGAACATGTCCCAGATGGCATAAGAGAAATAAAAGAAAGAAGGAAATTTCCTGCTCATATTTTTTTAAGCTAGTGAAACTCCTAAGAAAACACCAATAGCAACTTTACACAGAAGATGTAGTTTTCTTTCTGTCAATTCTGTCTATGAATAAAGCATGAAAGCAATTCTTCAGTAACTGTGCTTTTGCTTTCTGAATATCACAGTGATCAGGAAGAATGAAAAGCGGAAATATACTTTTAGATGGAAAATGACTGAGAACTCCTATCCTGGAACACCAAAGACAAGATATTTGGCCATAGAAGTCCAGAAAGAGCAGCATAGTATGTTCTGGTTTCCTGATATTTTTATTTACTTAATTAAATAATGTCATGTTAGTATATGTTTACACATGTTAATATATACATACACAAAACCTAATCTGTATCTATACTTATATCCTGGTTTGAGGTAAAACAGGACCAATTTTTTTCAGTAACTGCTTCTTAGCTAGGCCTCCTTTAACTACTGAAATTAACAGCATATTGTGCAGACACTCCTTGCTCTCAGAGTGATAAGACCAATGTTTATAGCTGATTCCCAGGCAGGGTATGAAGAGAGGCTGTTGCTTATACTTATTGCTACAACGGCCAAGGTCAGCCAACTTTGTTCCTTGCCCCACTGGAGGGTCAGAAGCAGAACTGGACGTATGAAATAAACTTGAAACTCTTTAGAGAAGAATGTCCCAAGTAGTTAAAATCAGGCTTCTGGGAGAAGTAGCTTTCCCAGAGATTAAGAATGCACTGTTTATAGTATGAGTTGGGCTGCCATAGTCCTGACCATAGGCTGTCTGTAATTACTTTTCTAATTCTGTATTGCTTTCCGTGGTCAATCAATAGAAAATAGTAACCTCCAAATAAATTCTGTCCCATATTTTCTATCTTTCTGTAGATATTAGCTAAGATCATGACAAATATTTTCTCTTTCTTCCATATAAGAAATAGCAATACTGCTGCAAGTAATTTTTTGAGAGTGTCTGAGTGAATGGAAAATAATGACAGTTTATGAAAAATTCAAGCATTTGTAGAATTTCTCTTATAAATTATGCAAGTGAAATTTTACTTTTCTATTAAATAACAAAAAATGTCATTCACGTAGTCAAGAACGCACATTTTTAACTGAAAACTTAATAAATGCAATTACAGGTGTACATAAGCTAAGTTCATTTGTATTCTCATTTCCAGCTGAGAACAAAGGCAACCCAGGATATACTCCACTTAAGTTTAGGCACTTAATGAACATGCTGAATTAAGGGATAAGATGCTATATTATTTTTTCTATAATCACAGGGTAAAAAAGGAACTTCCCTTTTTTTTATGTTAATCAGCCACCTTTAGTAAGAATGTTCTGTTAATCATGTAGAAAGCATAAGGCAGTTTTGACTCCTAAGTCAATAGCAGCTGGAGGTATATGTAAGATTCTTCATTTATGGAACCTGAATTTCAACGTACCTTTTTTCAGTCTAGGAAAACACAAATCTGAAATAAGTCTTGAGAGAATTAAGAGTTCAGCAAGTCAAACATATATTATTTCCCTACTTTCCATCTTCTCCACCTCCCCATTTAAGATATCATTCAAATTACTGCACTTTTTTTAGAGCAAAAATGTGCATGCTGGCCATCTTTAACCATCTTTAGCATCTTTAACCTTTTTTTATTCTATAACCTGTATGTAAAAATACATTTCATGTCAGTTTTATTGTTCATTTTTAGTTGAAAATCTACCTCCGAGTGGATTGTTTGGTAAGAGTAAGAGTGATGAAAAAGAATTACATGCCGATTTCTGCTCATACATAATCTTCACTGTACAGTTTAACATTCTCATCCAAAAGAGGCTGGGTGGGTTGCATTCCAGAAGTGTACGTCTGACTGCATTTTATGTAATAGGTGGGGTAAGGACCACTGTATTGGCTTGTAGACATCTCCATAATAAGAATCTAATGTTAACTGAGATGAGTCACGCTTCTCATTCCTGTACATAATAGTATCAAAGAAATAGCTCAGCTAGGAAGCAATTCCTCCGGTCCTTATGATGAGATACATCACTCATATGAGCCTATTTTTTCTCTCGAGTACAAGTGAAGGCTGGACAATTAGTTCAGATGTGAATTTCTACACTGTAAACTTCTATAATTAATAGGAATCCCGTTATCTGTACATTGTGTCCAAAATTATGTAGGCGAAAGAAAATTCTATGTATAGGGCAACCATGGCTGTTTAATGTCTTACCTAGCTCTCTATCACAGGTTATTTAGTTTGATCACTGAAGAGAGCATAATTCCAAATAGAAACACCAGTCAAACACTACTGACAGAATTCACTCTCTTAGGTCTTTCTGGTGATCCAAAGTCGCAGCGATTCATACTTGGCTTCTTCACCCTTATTTACATAATAACATTGCTAGGAAACTTACTTATCTTCTGTCTTATCCACCTGGATCCTCATCTGCGTATCCCAATGTACTAGTTCCTCAGGCATTTATCTCTCATAGATATATGTTACTCTTGCAGAGCTTTTCTTCCATCGCTCATTAGCTTTTTAGCTCAGAGAAGAACCATCTCATTAACTGGCTGTGCAGTTCAAATGTACGTTTTTCTTGTGCTGGCAACTACTGAATGCGTCCTCCTGGCAGTCATGGCTAATGACTGACATGTGGCCATATGTCTCCCACTCCACTACACAATGATCATGAGCAAAAGGAAGTGTGTCACATCATTAACTTCACTCTCACAAGCGAGTGGCCTGGTACTGCCAATTGCACACACTGTCCTGACATTGAGGCTACCTTACTGTGGTCCCAGTGTGATGGATCATTTCTTCTGTGAGATGCCTGCTGTACTGCAGTTGGCATGTGCCGATACACATCTGATGAAGCTGGTCACTCAAGTGGCATGTCTCTTCACCATGTTGATGACATGAAAAAAAAAGGCAAAATAATCTTTACCTTATACAATATTCTTACTCCAAAGTTAAATCCAACTATTTACAGCCTGAGATACATGGAGGTCAAGAAAGCATTGGTGAGGCTTATTAGAAAAGAAACATAGATCTAAGTAACACAGAATATGTCTCCTAGAAGTGTTCATGTATGGAACTCTCATAAGGGCTGGATTCATAAGTACATACACTTACAGTGTAGAAATGGCCATCTGAATTACTCATGCTGGACTGGCTTTACAGTTATTGGGGAAAATCAGCACAGTTACTATGCAATTCGACACACTAAATGAAGCATCTGAAATAATTAAATAAACATTGGTCTGAAATTGCCTATTGCTCTCCACTGACTGTTAAAGAAGTCTAGGATGACTATTTCATATACAGATATCTAAATCATACATTTGCTAAATTTACTAAAGCTACTTACATGATTTTTTTTCTCCTGAAATCTTATGTTTTAATAATAACTGGAGTACTGTTACTAGGAAGTAAGTGCATGAATATCCTTCTGTCTCTTTGCCTTAGCATAAGGTCTCAAAAAAGACTGAATAAATGAAATATCCAAATGTCAGGTTCACTGGGAGATGGGAACTGTGACTTTAATTAAAAACACCAGAAGTCTGACATCTACAGTTTCAAAGAAACTTCTTCATGAGGGTGGCATATATATGATATACATAATTTAGGATTGTTCTGAGAATTTAACAGTAAGGAGGACTGTAATCCAGTGTCTGGAAGCTCTTCTGGGTGTTGCTTAATATTAAACTGTAGCTATTTAATATTGTCTTTTGATGTTTACCTTTCGATGCAATGTGTGACATTATGCAAAGGCTTGCATTATGCTTCCTGCTTGCTATAGGGTTAGATTAATTGCATTATACCTCAAAATTCTCATTAAAATCCAGGATCATTAGATATGAAGATATGAAGAGCCTATATGCCACTATTTATCTGTACTCTAAATATTTTAGTTTTATGGAAGTTAAATGTTATAGATTAGCCCAGCAAGCTATAGAGTTTTAATTTTTTGTTATTTTTTATGTCCTTGTTATGTATAGAATAGATACTATTAGTTCAAAATAAATTATTTAGTCAGACAAACAGAAACAAAAGACACTGATCTCCCAGAGGGTGCTCTCCATAATTTAGAATTTTATTTTTCAGTTGGATTTCTAAGAAATTGTCTGATGTGATTCCCTCTATTGTTTTTTCTTTTTTTAATCACCTTCTTTGTATTTTTTAGTAGGTTTTCCCATTTAAAGTGAATGTTATTGGGAACTAGAGCTTATGCTTCATTAAAAAAAATAGTACCTATTCTACAGTCTGATGAAGGGGTCATTAAAGCTTATGTGTTTTCATGTTATGTAACAGTAGTCCGTTGATACAGTTAACCAACTAAACAAGTCATGCTGATATTCCATTCAAAAACGCTTTCTTTCAAGCCAAGGAATAAAGGAAAATGGGATGATATTGAGACTCCTAGGAAAGTGACACTAGAATATAACTAAAAGATGAGGAACACAGGTAATGGTTTTGCAATGGTGTCAGAGTGGGATTGGACTCGGAGTAACGAAGAAATCTCAATGTGAGTATGGTCGTTCTCATTTATTGAATATTTTCAAAGAGTATATATAGGCTTACAGCAAAAGCATGCATAGGCAACAACATTACAATTGGTCCAGCTCCCTTGTTCACGCGCAACGTCCCGCAACTAGATTGGCTAAGGCCCTCTGTCCACGCACCTCTTGTTTTACTCTTCTCCCAGCTTATCTTGTCCCAAATTCCATTCTGCTTAGCAGTTTTTTTCTCCCTTTTAGGGCAGCCAAGGGGGGGCCAAGGACGTTGCACATAGGCCTCCGTGCTTAGTTCAAACCCTGGGTTGCTCAACGGAATTAAGTTATGCCCTTTTTCATTCAGGAATGTCTCCACAAAAGGTCAGCTCAAGAAATCCAGACAGCAACTCAGGAAGAGGGCTGGGGCAGGCACAAAGTGCTTCTGGTCACAAGGTTGGGGTGAAAACCTGCGGTGGAGCAGGTGAGGGCAATTAAGGCTGATTAATGCACTCAGGGTCCTGAGTCCTTACAACTACACTTTACAGAGCATTTATTTATGTCTGGTGATTAGGAAGGAAATACAGACAAGTAGCTTGAAAATTAAAAAAAAAATATATTTAGGTTTAGTCTATTTACTTTGAAGATAATTAAAAGCATGAGAACTTTATAAAAGCAAAAATATTTTGTTAAGATATATAGTTCTTAAAATTTAATTTTAACACTGAGGTTTACAATTTTTCAGGATAGATTTGGAATGGATTCCATTTAAAGTTAAGACAGTTAATGTATACATCTAAATGTAGGAATCAATGTAAGCTACGTTTCTGAACCCTGAACAGAGTCTGAAGTGTAGATTCAATCTATGCAGTCTGGACTTCATTCATGGTCATCCATTTTGAAGTATCTCATAATATCTCAAAACTTCCACACACTGATTAACAGATGCAATAAATTTAACATTTTTATTTATATTCATTCTTCTCACCTAGTCTACTAATTGTTACAAGTATGTGATGTGTATCTATAATATCTATTTTATATATACACATATATATTTATATGAATCGCTGACCATCACTGTGTGGGTGTGACAAGAGTTGTGGCAGGAAGTTTTTGTGGACGTTTGTGGGGTCTTTGTTGGGTCTTTGTCAGGGCGAGTGCATCTGCCACAATGTTGTTGTGGTTTAACTCCAGCCAGCAAATAGACACCACACAGCCACTCGCTCACTCTCTCCTCAGCAGGATGGGCAGAAGAGAATTGGAAGGATAAAAGTGAGAAAAATTGTGGGTTGAGATAAGAACAGTTCAATAAATAAAATAAAATAAAAATAATACACACTGTATGAAACAGAAAATAACAGAGAGAGAGGAGCAAAACCAAAGAAAGACAAGTGATGCAAATGAAAGCAATTTCTCACCTCCATCCAACCGATGCCCAGCCAGTCCCCTAGCAGCACCGCCTGGCCCCCACCAACCTCCCCCCCTTTTTTATTCCTGAGCATGATACTGTATAATACAGAATGTCCCTTTGGTCAGTTTGGTCAACTGTCCATGCTGTGTCTCCTCCCAGCTTTTCTGGCACTCCCAGCCTACTCGCTGGCAGGGCAGTATGAGGAGCAGAAAAGGCCTTGACTCTGTTTAAGCACTGTTCAGCCATAGCTAAAACATCCCTGTATTAACACTGCTCAGCACAAATCCAAAACATACCCCCATATTAGGTACCATGAAGAAAATTTCGTCTATTCCAGCCAAAACCAGCACACATGATGTCACTGATACATTTTAAAAAGCACCTAAAAGCTCCTCATACAATTTTCTTGCTCCTATTGATAACATCTTGTTTACCTCTTACAGAGATTCTAAGACAAATCATTTTACTTTGGCTTTAATTCTTCTATTAGTAACAATAAAGTGTAAACAGTCTGCATACGAGAGCAACACAGTATCATGTTTTCCACACACTGTTTCCATGCTCTAAAGCATTTTTGCCATGGAATTTTCTTAATCACTCTTGTCATTTCCTGCAGAGGCCTTGCTAGGAGCCCCAGTGCTCCTGCAGGACATCTTGCTCACATGTATTTGATATCCACAATCAGTAGGGGTATGTTTTGGATTTGTGCTGAGCAGTGTTAATACAGGGATGTTTTAGCTATGGCTGAACAGTGCTTAAACAGAGTCAAGGCCTTTTCTGCTCCTCATACTGCCCTGCCAGCGAGTAGGCTGGGAGTGCCAGAAAAGCTGGGAGGAGACACAGCATGGACAGTTGACCAAACTGACCAAAGGACTGAAAGCTTGGTATGTCCACTGCTAACATCCTTAAAATCATTTTCCAAGATTAACTTCGCCCAGAGAAGCCCTTTTCTTCTGACTGAGTATAGAGGGCTATGTATCACTTACATAGCTTTAGCACCATGCCATAGGATAGGATGTTAAAGTGAGATGTCATTCCCATGGGGAAGGAGAGTTAAAAGAAAAAGACAGCTAACAAGTTGAGGAATAGACAGGCCAAAGGTGCGACATATTTCACCTTACTTTACATAATACACTGGCTTAAAAGTCTACATCTGAGGTAATAATTGCTCTGTTTGACCCAGCTGCTGATTCACTGGTGATTAGTGCCAGTTGAGATGTCCGAGGGCATTTAAAACCTTAGTAACAGGACAGGCAGAGAATCACAGAATCACAGAATCGCAGAATGGTCAGGGTTGGAAGGGACCTCTCGAGCTCACCCAGTCCAACCCCCCTGACAGAGCAGGGTCACCTACAGCAGTTGCACAGGACAGCGTCCAGGAAGGTTTTGAATGGCTCCAGAGTGGGAGACTCCCCCACCTCTCTGGGCAGCCTGTGCCAGTGCTCTGCCACCCTCAGAGGAAAGGAGTTCCTCCTCATGTTAAGATGGAACTTCCTATATTCAAGTTTGTGCCCGTTACTTCTTGTCCTATCACTGGGCACCACTGAAAAAAAGACTGTTCCCACCCCGCTGGCACCCTCCCTTTAAGTATTTATAAGAATTAATAAGATCCCCCCCTCAGTCTTCTTTTCTCCAGACTAAAAAGACCCAAGTCCCTCAGCCTTTCCTCATAAGAAAGATGCTCCAGTCCCCTAATCATCTTCATAGCCCTGTGATGGACCCTCTCCAGCAGTTCCCTGTCCTTCTTGAACTGGGGAGCCCAGAACTGGACATAATACTCCAGATGTGGCCTCACCAGGGCAGAGTAGAGGGGGAGGATGACCTCCCTCGACCTGCTGGCCACACCCTTCTTGATGCACCCCAGGATGCCATTGGCCTTCTTGGCCACCAGGGCACATTGCTGGCTCATGGTCATCCTGTTGTCCACCAGGACTCCCATGTCCCTTTCAACATAGCTGCTCTCCAGCACATCAGCACCTAACCTGTACCAATGCATGTGGTTATTCCTCCCCAGG